TCCTAGAGCCCGCACTGGAGCGCGGATATGGACTCTTAATAGTGATAGGGAATGTATTCTATAACAAGGGGAGGGGCTCCGGGGTGGGTGAAAAGTAAATGTTGTGCAAAAAGTTGAAATGGTTCAGAATAGCCCTTCAATAATAGCTTTACTCGACGCGTGCGGTGCGTCCACGGTGCGCAATCTACTTAGCGCAGTCAAACTCCTCAAGTTGAACCCATTCCACTCTTTTTTACTTTATCACAACTTTCTCTTGTCCTTGCACTACGTTTACTTCTCACCCACCCCGGAGCTCCTCCCCTTGTTAAAAATTAGATTCCCTATCACTCATGAGGTCATGTCCGTGCTCCAGTGCGGTCTCTGGGTACTCTGCCGCCTGGGTTAGAGACGCAGAGCAACTAGACGGGAAGGCGCTGGCACCCCCCAACTACATTTTCACCGAATCCTTTTCCGAGCAGAATTCCTCAAACAGCTTCTTTCTCGAGTTTTTGCCTTTTGAAGGTCGTGCCTCCTCCCCCTCTTGACCTTGCACTCAGCTTACGGACGTTTTGACGAGCGACATAGCTCATTTCGTGGTGCATGCCTGCATTTGCATTCTCGTCGTCCTCGAAACCATTCGGAACGTTACGTATTCAGCCTCTGTTGATTTTCAATAGTGATTGTTTTGCGTCGTGTACACACACACACCCATCCAGACTACAAACTGCCCCTGAGCGCACTTGGGCGAACACCCGACAACCGTTTTTATGTCTACGGACTCTCGCAACATTCCGCCTTCCATCATCACTTACGACGAAAGCGATCTCGCACCAGCTTGTTCCAGACATTTATTGTTGGACACTCGTTAGCAGCCTTTCACTCGCCACTACGTCTGTCAACGGGGCGTTTTTAAGTGTTCCCCAGTGATTGGCATGTTTTATGGCCCCTCGCACAAATCGTTCAACTGAATAGGACACGTCTCATAGCAACGCTATGGAAATTATTAATTCGGCTTTACAGATGAATTCGAGGCGGAGCTGATGAATCGTAACGGAACCAGCCGATCACCGTCTGTCATACTGGCGGATGACAATCCTGCTTATTCTTATGGCTTTGGATCGCCGAAAAGAAACAATGCCGCCTCCGGAGGGTAAGCATCGCTTTCAAATCCATTTATCTAAGTGCTTCTGTTTGTCATACGGTTTATGTGGATTTTTCTTTCAATTTTCGTTCTTTGCTCTACCACCGACATTCCTTTGCATCGATTTTCTTGATTGTCAACGCTTCGTCTTTATTGAATAAGGCATGGTTGTTGCCCTTGGATGATTGCGCTAATCCGTTTTAGCCAGAGTATCCCAGGAACGGAAACTTCGAGAACACCTAAGCCCCTTTGCTTAAAATCTCCCCTCAGGGGATATCTTCTTCCCACTATTTTCAATGATGGCTCACGTTTTGAGGTTTAGCTTCATTTCTCACTAAAAGGAACTCTGAAAATAAGTTGTTCTGGCCATCCCTCCATCCTTGCGAGAAACTAACGTAAACCGTCTTGGGGGGAGGGGGAAGGCAATGGTTCGGTCATTTTCGGATGGAAGTCTGTCCTCAGCTGAAACCTTTGCCTCATTGGAGTGATCAGCGACAGTGAAGCGCCACAGCCACTGACAGTACTGTACAAATGATGTATACCGTATATCCAGTAGATACAGTACCTTGGAGTGGCCAAATAAGCATTCAGAAGCCCCAACGAGTGCAGTGGATGTTTAGTCGTTGTGAACAAAACAGGATGTTTTCGCTGCCAATCGTTTTATTTACATTTCTTTTATTCATTCCCGAACCTGATTGAGATCTGATCTTACATGGGAGCAGTTCCCGCTGGGAAACGATTGGGTGAAATGAGAGTTTCTGTGACAAGAAAAATTCTCTTCCGGCTGCTACGGAAAGACTTTGACTGCCTTCGCTGAGGCTATACGTCTGTTAGTATATGGTGTGGGTGGTACTAATACGGTCCATCGGTAGATTGGGTGATTTTTAGCGATTTATTTGGCGAGTGCGCAGTTTGCATTCCGTATTAACGGGTTTCAGAACCTTTTTTCGCGAGTGGGTTCCATGGTTGTACTTCGGATATGAATCGATTTTATTACGATACAGCCCACTTACTCCGTGGGAATTCTCACGGAACTGGTTAAACTCCTCGAAAAAAAATGGAACGCGAGAAATGGTGATTGCGTAAATAACCGTATTGTAAGTGAATCTCCTTTTTGTAAAACCTTTTTGAGCGCTCGTCTCCATTAGAAGAGCATATACCCTTGAGTATCGTTTTTCCTTTGCTCCATTGTGGGAGCTGGATTCGTCTCTTCCTGGGAGAGCGCTGGCAGAAACGTTTCCTAAC